AGAAGGAGGAGAAGAAGGAGGAGAAGGAGGAGAAGGAGAAGAAGGAGGAGAAGGAGAAGTAGGAGAAGGTGAAGGAGGAGAAGAAGGAGGAGAAGGAGGAGAAGGAGGAGAAGGAGGAGAAGGAGGAGGAGAAGGAGGAGAAGGAGGAGAAGGAGAAGGAAGAGAAGGAGGAGAAGGAGAAGGAGGAGAAGCAGAAGGAGGAGAAGGAGGAGAAGGAGTATGAAGAGGAGGAGGAGGAGAAGGAAGAGAAGAAGGAGGAGAAGGAGGAGAAGGAGAAGGAGGAGTAGAAGGAGAAGAAGGAGGAGAAGGAGGAGAAGGAGGAGAAGGAGGAGGAGAAGGAGGAGAAGAAGAGAAGGAGGAAGAGGAGGAAGGGGAGGAAGGGGAGGAAGGGGAGGAGGGGGAGGATGGGGAGGAGGGGGAGGAAGGGGAGGAAGGGGAGGAAGGGGAGGAGGGGGAGGAGGCAGGGGAAGGGAAAGAGGATCGGTAGGGGAAGGAGAAGAAGAGGCAGAAGCAGAAGCAGCAGCTTAAAATGTCACTATGAATTGAGGTTTTTTTTCTTTTTCTCCTAAGGAATTTTGAACTTTTCTCAGCGTGTATTGGTAGGGAGAGGGGAGGTGGGGAGAGCCTCATGGGTTATTTGGGAATTTACTTAAGAACTTAGCCTGTGTGGCATATCCTTCCCATATTCTCTTGCTATTTCCGATTCTGAAGTCACTTCTGTGCCTTCACTTTGCTTTCTTGGAGAAACAGTTCTATCAAGTTACTAGTACCTCTTTTGCATAAAAATTAGGCAGAACACCTTTTTGAATTTTAACTTTTTGTTTTGAAATAATGATTGCAAGGCTAGAACAAAGAACTTGTCATGTACTCTTCACCTCAAGACTCCATTTTGCCATTTGTGTCAATAATGCCTTTGTAACCGAATGATCCAATCCAATCAGATTGTATAAAAAACTCTAACAGAAATTAACTCAAAATGGATGAAAGAGTTAAATGTAATAGTTGTAAGTATACAAGCCTTAGAAGAAAACATAGGCATAAACATTTGAATGGGCAGTGGTTTCTTAGATATGACACTAAAAATATAATAAACAAAAGGGAAAATAGGTAAACTGGATTTTATCAAAATCCAAATTTTGCACTTAATAGGACAGCCCACAGAATGGGAGAAAGTATTTGCAAATCATAGATCTGATAAAGGCCTAGTATTCAGAATATATAAAGCTAAACAGAATATATGCAGTTCAACAATAACCAGAGAAATAACCTAGTTAAAAAATGAGCAATGGGTTTAAATAAACATTTTTCCAAAGAATATATACAAATGGTCAATAAGGACATTAAAATATGCTCATCATCATTAGTTATTAAAGAAATGCAAATCAAAGCCAAAATGAGTACCATTTCACATCCATTAGGATAGCTAAAAAAAAAAATAATAAAAGACAAGATGTCAAGGATGTGGAGAAAATGGAACCCTCATACATTGCT